AAAGAGGCTCACATGGCAGCAAATCTCCTTAATGTCTGAACACTAGGAAGCAAATAATGGTTAACCTGAGGGTTTGCATGTATTTCAACCATGCTTGTATTAGAAATGCTCACAGAAAGATCTTCGCAAAATTCTTTAGCCTGCTTTCTGTTTCTAATTCTGCCTAAAAGTCCCCTATGACAAGACTGTGGTCCTTAGGACCTGACTGTAAAAGGAAACAGGCAAGTAATGTTTGGGTTTTTCTTCCACAAAATCCATGAACAGACTGCGCCTATTCAAAGCCTTTGACCGGTGGAGCAACCGCCGCCTGCTTTCGTATGAGGCAGATGCCGATTGCAGTTGGGCAGCTATGAGTTATTGAGACATCATCAGCCCAGAACGGGGCTCAAGGGTTTGCCCACCTCCGAGGCACAGGGAAGTGGTATTATCAGAAGAAAGTGAAGATTCAAGCTCTCACATTTGCTTCTCACTTCGTTGAGATTTTTTTTCCTAGCTATTCAGGATGCGATTTAACGCACCACAATTGCGATTTGCATGCATAAAGTGTATACGGAGATTTAGATACGTTCAAGATATTCCCACTTCAGGTTTGAACGAATTAGGTTTAACAGAACAAGTGGCAATTGACATTTCTGTCTTCTACTTTGTCTGCAGAGCACCCAGTCTGAGGCCTTGCTCTCAGGTAAGGTTCACTGGCAGGTATCGTAGGTCATATGAATCATTAAGAAACAGAATAAAAATTCCCAGCATCCATAACATTTGCATTTTATGAGAATAAATTAGCAGCAAGATCTTCTGCTTCCCTGCAAATCCCCTCTCCCTCCTGCTTGCTTTGTTAAAGGAATAGTGTATTGTACCTCACTGCTTCTGTCGTTTGGCTCCCCAAGAAAAACATACGGAAGAGAACACAAGCCTTGCTGATAAGCCTGTCGAGCCTTATAGCTTAATACGGTTAATAGGCCTCTAAGTTTGAGAACATGGTATTTCCCTTCCCCATTACAGTAGTAAATCTAAAGCATTTAAACGGTCACTGTGTGCCTTTGCTAAGGGATCAAAATAATAAAAATGAAAGCATATGGCAAAGTCTGTCTGCATGGTCCATTGGTATAACTCCAACGTTGTAAAACCATGGCAGGTTAGTGGACTGGGGGAAGGCAAGGTGCTAAATCTCGTTGTTCGCCTCCAGGATGTTCACGGTGAAACCTCAGCATGGCTTGTTTTGGAGACAGCTGCCTGGATATTTTGCTCTGAGCTCAAAGTTTTTCTTGTTTTCAAGAAACCAAAGAGCCGGGATGGTTTGCTTTGAGATCATAGCAAGGTGCAAAATGGAAATTAAATCATACTCTCAGACTATAAATCTGTTTCTAACTCAGTGATAATAGAAAATCCCAGCAAGACGCAAAGACAGAAGAAAACCAGAAGTCAGAAAGCGGGTTTGCTCCTTCGGTCGCTATCGCTGCGTTCTCACCACCAGTGAGGGGATGCGACGAATCCTTTGCTTGCACCGCTGAGATCTCATCTACAGGGGCAAGAGGAGCTAAAGGTTGCAGCAGGGGAGGTCCCAGAAGACTGGAGGCTT